TTTCCCTATGTAGGTACTGCTCGATCTCGTTATATCTGAGCATCCACGAGATAACATCTCAGTGCATGTAGTTTCCGGGTCCTCTTCGCAGAAAGATGAAACTTACCATTTTCCGCGAGTAGAGCTGTGTGGTACAGTACTGATTAGTAATAGAGCTACATGTAGGATAACAATTAAAGAATGAGATGCGCTATCATGCACATGCATTCATATGGTACAATCCGCTAACAGCTACTTCCACGCTTTAAATCCTCCCATACATACATCTATGCACCCATACAAGCAGATGAAATAAGCAACATCATTGCATTGGAGTCATTAATTTGTCCAACAACAAACCATTTTTAACAATCAAGAAAACAACCTTTCATCAGCATGGATCATGTTACTTGGCACATCCCTGATTTAATGTAATAATAATCCTATTTGACATAAAACAAACTGGAAACTTAGTATACCAAAGTGCAAATCAACAAAACATAAGCAATAAGCTTCCTGTTCCAAAATTTTCAAGAGTGAGGAATACATAACGACTATTCAACAATACATGTTTGGCAGTTAAAATCCACTAAAGAGAAATCAATTTAAAATGCAACAACCAGCAAACACTGTATACTTATTTGTGTGATGAAATATTAGTACAGATGTCAGCATTAATCAACAAATAATCACATGAGAAATACAGCTCACAAAAGTAAAACTCCACCATTCCAACTCTCGAATACCAAATCAATTTAAGACACAGCAATTAGAAAATGTGTTATATTAAATTTCCATCACGAAATTTTAGCAACAATTTAAGTGCAGAATCAGAGGTTACCCGGGCTAAGGCAGAGAAAGAGATGATAAGTTAAATTAGATTTATCCCTCTTAATGAAGCACTGGATAGTTCCATCCCTGTATCCTGGCTGTAAGAAACAAATGAAACAAATCCCATTTTTTTAAGCTGCTGTCTGACGATGTTACAAATAGAGAACACAGATAGATGAATTATCAATCAGATTAAAAAAAAAAATTTCTCTAGATAATATAGTAAAAGCAACCACTAAAGATCTCACCTGTTTCAGTGAAACCGGAAAGGTTATTTTTCCAGAGAACTCAGGACTTTGGACAATTTCTTTGCACATTTCTCTCCACGACCTGCACACAGCGGCGCATGCAACAACATGTCTGCGTGCAGGCCACATGCTTTCACTTGCTTCCAATCTCTTAATCACATCACGCAATAACTCAGGTGGGAGACCAGCCCAACGGCTATTCTGAGTAACTACAGGCTGCTCATGCAATTCATGCACTGACCCATGAGATTTACCCCTATGATGACCAGGCAACCTCACCTCAAAACTACGCCTCGATAAGCTCCCAAAACTATCTCTCACGTCACGAACTATACTGCGGAAAGACATTTACTATAATATGTTGATAACGTCCTTCAGACTAATGTGTCTTGGAAACTGCCGGCATATATTATTTTCCACCTAAGTGGCACAGTAGCCACTGACCATTACAAGCATATAGAACTGCAAATCAAATAAGCTTTCCTTAAATTCCATTTACAATACTTATTAACCAAGAAAAAAAGATAAAGGAGACAGACAGGCTAAAAGCACAAAGTAAGAAAAGAAGATTCTCATCAGAAAAGAAAAGCTTCACATGGACCAAGAGAACATAAAACTCCAGACTTTGGGGGAAACATTTTTTGGCGTGTGTTAAGCCTAATTTGAAACTATAGACTGCTGCTAACTCAAATTTAATCAGACATTTAGACCTTGTCGTTCAAATAAAGAATTTTAAACAAAAGCAAAAGAACCCTTCCCATCCAAAACCAAAATATAACTAAATTCACCTCATCCAAAGGGAAATTAACTACCCACAAAAATAAATTTTGGTCAAGACCATGTCCAAACTCCAAAAAATGGAGATTGACATATCAAGTGCATATTAATACTTGTAATCCCCTTCTCCAGAAAAGATATTTCATAGTTACAGTCCCACTACCTTTAGACCCAAGTTACATATCCTGACCCAGAAAATTCTGCAAGCTAAAAGATCAATTAAGCTCAATGATGTAGTGTGCTTGATACCAAATAAACGAAAGACTTCTAACATAAAGAACAAACCTCATCAGAAACAGTACTGTGCCCAGTCCCAGCACAGACCTTTGTTCAATGATTTCCAACCCTCCAAACCTTAAGAAGTGAGTAATTGAAAATGCAAACATTAAACCCTACATCCAAGCTCTGCACTTGAAAAGAAACATCGTATACAAACTATATACTCAAAAAATGCCAGAAAATCTTACAAATTCCTTCACCCAGAGTCACATACCTCGAAAGTACATGCAAACCCCTCAACAAATCGTAAAAAATCTAGTAAAGAACATTTTTCTTCTACAGTTTCAGGAAATGAAACAGCAAGAAATCCTCCCAATTCAGTCAAAAGAAACGGTAAGGTAAATACAAATTTCGAAACAAAGTCAGTGAATCAATGGGAAGTTTTCTGGACCTGCGTTGAAAGAGAAAACACTATGCACGCTTCTATTTACCCAGATAACAAAGTAGGTAAAGCAGCAAATTTGGTACAGTTGATGAAGAACCCAGAAAAGCAGACCTCAAAATCCACGCATCAGAGGCATGGAATTTAGAACTCCAGAAAATTTCTCGAGAAACAAACAGAAAATCAACCAAATAAAAAAAAAAAGAGAGAGAAAGAGAGGGAGATAAGAGAAATGGAAGAGATCTAGTGAAATACTCAGACCATGAGCAAATGATAAAGAGATAAAAGAGATCACAAGTTGCTCACCATCATTTTTCTCCTTTTTCTCTCTTCTAATTCTCTCTTCACTTCTTCCCTTCAGATCCTTAGCTTTTACCACACTCAGAAAGCTTTACTCTCTCTCTCTCTCTCTAACCTTAGTTTCTCTCTCTAGACTTTTCTCTCTCACCACTTTAAGACGCGGACTCCAAATCTTATTAAATCCAATTCAGAAACTTGCATTAAGAAAAGCGCCTTGCTTAATTTTTCATTTAATTAATTATTATTAGCTTAGAATTTGGCTCACTCCTGTTCAGTTTTTTTCATTATTTTTTTAATTTTTAAATCAATACATTGTTGGTTGGTTAATTCCTACGAAAGCTCAGTAGTGGGTATTCTAAATTACTATATTACCCTCGACGGTTGACTTTTCCGTTACCTAACTTCCGTTATGTTTCCAACCATAAAAAAAAATTCTTCCCGGTGCTTCAAAATTATTTATTTCCTTTTTTAATTATGTTATTTAAAATATGATGTCATAATTAAATATTTTCTTTTTTTCTTCTCCGTTTCGTAGGATAGTGGGGTTCATGTGAGAAAAATTATGAATGGGGCACGCCGTCATGATGGAGAAGACCTGTTGTCTGACGAAATGTCAATATTGCCCATAATAAACCTCATATTGTCAAAACAACCCTTAGTCTTCTTATTTGTTTTGTGAATTTTAAATAAATAATTATTTAAAAAATACCGTAACGTT